TCTTTTCAAAATAAAAATATAAACTTTAAAAAATATCCATCATTTGATATATTAAAAAGAGAAGGGACAAAAATTAATTATAGAAAAAGAAAAGATGATATTAAAATTAATATATTTAATGAAACCTTAATCTTCTTAAAATGTCTTATATTTTAGAATAGATAAACTCTTTCATAAATACTATATAATTTGGGACGGACGGAGTATGTATGAATCTAAATTTCCAAAAATGTCTTGAATCTATTTCCATTACTATCATGATAGAATTGGCTAAATTTCAAGGAATTCTCGTCACTATCCTTAATCTCCCCCCGCCCTCTTCCATTACTATCATTAACACTAATGGTAACGAATCAAGTAAAGAGAAAGGCAATAGTGAGAGTTTTTTTCTTCAATTTTGAAAGGGGCATTGGGTTTTTATACCTTTTAAATACACATAATAAATAAAATTATATTAAGATTTCATCTACATATCAAAAATTGTACTTTTAAAACTTAATTTTATTGTATTTCTAATTATAATTCGATTCTATTAAAAATTCTCCCATCATATCAAATGGAGCATATATGTAAATCAAAATCTATTTAAATTTAAAAGGTGCATCTGCTTAAAGGTTCAAAAATATTAAATCTAGTTCATGTAGCTTTTGTTTGTCTATTCCTATTGGTTAGTAAATGCTTCCATATGAGATCATCGATCACCTTATTATAACTTAACCTATCACAATTAAGATTTTCATGGTTAGAGTCATCATTAATCCTGGCTTGCCAAATCACATATAAAGCTACACAAAACACAGCGCCTTTTACCGTTAAAATAGGCACGATTTCACTATTAAATAGGCAATATATAACGTCTACTATATAACGGTTACTAAAAAAAAAAAAAAAGTTATATAGGAGAGGCAGGATTTAGTGCACTCGAACATATAATGCTAACTAAGATAACAATTATATAATTTATATATAACAATTATTAAAAAAAACATTTAACTAGTCTTTTTTTTAAATTTTTGTCTCAAAATCTATGTAACGATTGTTTTAAAACAACTGCTATATCGTCTTAGGGATTATATAGCAATTAGTTTCAATAATTGTTAAATAATTTCATTTAAAAAACTTTTCACTTCATTTTGCCATCATAACATTACGACTCAAAAATTTTTTTTAAGACTCTCTTCCTCTCATGGAACCTCTCCATTCACCATGAAACTCTCCCATCGTGATCAAAAGCAAATTCCGACATAGCCCAGTCATTTTTTGCCATCACATACCTTCCGTCACTGTTGCCGTGCCTTGCTTCCTGTGGTGGTTTTGTCATTTTTCCGAGTTTCAGCTTTTGGGAGTCCGTTGATTTTGTTCTTTCATCTTCTTCAAGTTTTTCTCCATTAGGTTTGTGATCCTCTCCCTAATCTTCCTACTTTATCATTTTTATTGAGTTTTGGTTGTTTTTTTTTCTATGTATGGAGTGTATATGTGACTGTTCTTCTTCTCTGACTGCATTACTGTGCATCTCTGTCTCTCCTTTTATTTTATATGTATGTATGTATGTATGTATATGTTGAATTTAATTGCTTTAGACAACGTATATGCATAGATGGTGTTGCTTAATTTAATAGAACTAATTGCTATGAATTATGGAGGTTTTAAATTGCATTTTGTGATATTGGGTTGTTCTTTGGGGTAATTAGTTCTTGGTTTTGAAATAATGATGATGTTTTTCCTATTTGCCTTAATTTTTTTTTTTAGAAAATGAGTTGTTATCTTTGATTTTATTTTCTAAAAAGAATGCTGTGATATTGTTCTATATTTGTTTTGGAAACAAGTGTATTATTATATTTGAAAAAATTCATTTATGTGCTATTATGCTACTAATTTTTTTTAAATTAGTGTTCTGCCTAGGTTTAAATTATTTTTTATTTTAGAGTAATATAAAGAAAGGGCATAAAGCTAAGGCATTCCAATTTTAAGTCATCATGTTAGTAAAATTGTTTCAAGTGTAAGGTGACATGATTTCAATTATGTTCGATGTGTTTAAGATTTAGAATGTACCAAATATGAGTTTAAAATTTAAATTGCCCTCAGAATTATAGTTTAGGGTTTAAATTGCCTACTTGAAAAATATTTGTATACATTTAAATTCTAAAATGTTTAATCATCACATCAATATTCATTTTATTTTTAACCTCGAATAAGATACTTAAAATTAATTAATTTTGTTTAAAAATTTAATAATTTTTAACTTTACCCCTATTAAATGTACATATTTCAATAATATATTTTTTTTCTCCAACATTCAACAGAGAATAAAAGAAAAAATTTGTGATAAAACTTGAATGATGTAACTTATAAATATAATTAAAAAAAAATCCTTCTCTATATACCCTATAAATAAGACTAAAGGGAGTATGATTTCTACAACATATGGGATTGATATTTAATGTGCAATAAATAGATTTTTGCAAGAGGGACAAAAAATAAAGAAAATACATTAATAGATCCCCATACTTTGAATGCATTTTGTTTTAGTTTTTATAGTTTTATATTGTTCTTCCTAGTCACTTCAGTTTGATATATCTATAATATTAGTCCTTATAATTTTCAAAATGCACATAAAGACCATAAGTTGTCATTGACGGAGTTAATTTTGCTTGCCTATACTTAAGTTTATTAACCCCTTTATTGATGTATGTGTTCTCAATCTTGTCTTTGTCTCTCACGTTCTGCTTAATCCAAATATACAAGGAAGCTTTTTTGCTCTCTTTTATTTTTAAGCATGCTTAGCCAATTTATTTCTTTGTCAACATATTTTGTAATGTATCAACAAAAAGATTAGTAGTTATATTGAAATTAACTCTATCAGTGCTAATTTATAGCCATTTTGCACATTTTTAAAATTAAAGGGGCTAATTGCAAACAAAATTAAGCTAAAAGAATTGAGAACAATGAAATAAAACTATGAAGACCTGAAGAAAAATACAATTAAAATACAAGAACCAACTATAGTTGGCCAAAAGGACAAAAATACCACATGGCTGACAAACATGTAACCAATCTAATTATCCAACCATATGTTTGAGAGTTTTTCTTTTTTTTATTTTCAGGGGGAATGAATTAATGGATGTAGGATGGCTACAAGATTTGGATTCTACATTAAAATTATTCATCGTGTATTAAAATTTTATACTCTAAAATATAAAATGTTTTCAACTGTTTCATGTATCTTATAGAAATACGCAATATTGTTAAATTTGTCTCAAAAAAAAAAAAAACAGCTCAAGATTCTATTTTTACTCTTATTAATTAAGTGAATGTAAACATTATAAAACCTCCATTTTTTTTTCACAGATCAATCTACAAGATCTCTCATTAAAAGTCTGAGGGTAAAAATAAAAATAAAAAATTCATTACATGATATTACAAGCACATTATATCATGAGAGAATGACAAAGAGGTCCAAAAAAAATCAATTAATTTAAATTTCAAGTGTCAAATTTAAGAATTTACAATCTCTCAGTTTTACAATTCCATTATGATAAATTTACAATTTGCATTTCAAATTTTAATAGAAAAACAAAATTTTTTATTTTTCAATCCTGTTAAAATTTTAAAAATAAATTATAAATTTATCACAACACTTGCAAAATTCAGAAATGAACTCACAAATTTTTAAAATTTGACAATTAAAACCTAACTTAAATTAATTTATCATTTTAAAACCTCTTTATCATTCTCTCTTATATTTTATAGACCAATAGTATATTTTAGAAGACACTATAATTAGAACTCGAGTCAAATTTGCAGTTAATTAAGATGTGTGTCATACCATGCTCACGTGCGTTATCTTTTCTGTTTTAATTTGATTGGAAATGTTTAAATATAAATTTTTTGAGTTGTTTTAAATATTATTTTTAGTGCTGTACCCTTAGGGAGCCAAGTCAATTCAAACCGTACATTTTTTTCTGAATTAATAAACAATTGCTTTATAGTTTGTTTTCTTCAAAGTCTTCTACGACCACCAAAAAGGAAAGGGAAAAAAGAGTGAGGAAAAGAAAAGTCCAACGCTACCAATAATGCAACAGATGACTAACTACTACTTAATTGCAGTGTTTAGCGAATTAACCAAAAGAAATTAGATATATATATATATATATATATATGTATGTGTGTGTGTGGTGTGTGTATCATGTTTGTATGCAGAGAGAGAGAGAGAGAGAGTTGTAGTACAGTTCTCTCAGCTTGACTTGATAGCCCTACACTCACATGCCCGCGCGCACACATATAGATGATGTATACATATATACATACATAAATACATACATACAAAGAAAATGGTTTTTAAGTGACCATTAAACGGAAGCTAGAGATCGTGTTTTCCTGTTCATAAGTGTAATTCTCTAAGGAAAAAGCATTTATGCTTTTATTTGAATAAAGACAACCTGCAGCACATCCAAAGCCAAATTCTTGTTAGTGCTAAGAAGAATGAACAATAATGGCCACATGAATAAATAAATGAATGAATAAATATATTAGTGCCAACAAGTTAGAAAATAGAAGCAGTATCTTTTATTATTATTATTTCACAAAATGGATGGATTGTATATTTCTTAGTTAAAAACCTATTCAAAATTTAATTTAAATTATTTTGCAGAATTGAAACCTTCCAGTATGCTAAAACACAGCAACCAAGGTCTATATATTCAATTCAAATCATCAGCATCAAATGTAGACGGTTCAAGTTAGATTAAACAAACCTATCTGACATATATTTGAAATTTTAATATTTTTATTATTTCAAAAATGTAAAACACATAGTAAAACATAATTAATACTTTAGACAATCCAATTTTGTCAGATCAGTAAACAGTAAAACACAATTAATACTAGCTATCCCACTTTAGTCCAACATTTATTTAGAGGCTTGATTCAACTCATTTTAAATATATGAAAATTGATTTAATTCTTGCTTTTGCATGGATGAAATATTAACCATGGGCCTTACAACAAAGTAGATAAACTAATTAATTACCCAAGCCTGAGAGATGTATCAGAACTATCACAGTCTTGAGGAGGATTAATGTCAGATGAACTGCAAATGATGATGGACTCAGAAGACTGCCCTTGTTCATGCACAAGGCTCTGTACATATAAAGCTCAAGTGTATCTTTGTGTTACAAGACTTTCATCTGAAAAAAGAGGCAATAATTTAGAGGATAAGAATTTGAAAATCTGTGATCACCTGCCTCATTCTTTGGTTTTCTTCCTTGAGTTGGATTCCCTGTACATGAAATTCAAACATATTGTAATAGCAAAGGTGACTGAGAGTGTACGCGGAACATTGTTAGTGTCATAAAAAGCATCACTTGGGTTTTTCTTGAAATCCATTATGTATTAGTGAAATCATATGCATTAGTCTGTTAGAATATGGATCTGAATCTTCTCACCATGGGAAATTTTCAAATTATATAGTGTCATGTGTGAAGAGAAGAGTGAGCATCAAATCTCCTGGAATAACCGCATCTTGTGGAATCGACTATTCAAAAAGGGATTCTCAGAGAACTGATCATTCAAGTATGAACATAGGTGAATCTTTGTGTGTATTACGTTTCATTCGCTACATAATATAAGACACTTTTTTGAGTTTCCTAATTCCATATTCTTTTTTGTGCATTTCACATCCATTAATTTGTGTGTCAGCACCTCACTGATTGAGAAGATTCAGATATTGTTTTGTGACTAATTAAATAGAGGCTACATTCACAAAAATGAAGTTTATAGCTCTAGTCCAATAAAAAGAAGGATGTTTTACGTTTTAAGAGTTTAGGTATTGATTGTCTTTTCTTATGAGGGGAAAGTACCAAATTTATTTAAGAAACTAGAAATGGTGATCCCAAGAAAACAAATGAATCTAATATTCAGTCAACACTCTCTATTTTCATGTTTTTCTTAGTTGGGCTAATCACTAACCCCTGTTTGTTTGGAAGGAAATGAAAAGGAGGGAAGAGAAATTCTAATGAATTCGATTCAAAAGAAATGGATAGGTGGGGTTATAAAATTTTGAGAATTTTGTAAATTGAAAGAGTAAGCAAAATTAATTAAATATTTTAAACCCACTTCTCCATTTTGTTAAAAATCAAACTCATTAGAATCTCATATTCCCTCCAATTCCCTCCAACCAAACAGATATATGAGAACAATGGGAATGAATGTAATTGCGACTGTATAGATAGACTAAAAGACTAAAGTCAAGAAGTTTTTAATCACACTCTTCAATGGTTTTGTTTTCTCCAATTGTAGAAAGTATAAAAAGTGCTTAAAATAAGTTTGAACACTGGTCTTTTAACCGGTGTAGAAAGTCCACAGTCAAGACTTTCTACATTGCCTCTTTCTACACCAGTTTTGGAACTAATGTAAAAGTTATTTTTAACTGGTCTAAATAGTGCTTTTTGTAGTAAAGATGTACCTTTTGCAATACTGTGAAAGACCCTTTCTAGGTTTGGAACTACTTCAAGTCTAAAATGGATTGAATACACTTCAGTAAAATTCACATAAAAGTTTTTCCTGCTTCTGGAAGTATAATAAGTTATATAATGAGATTTCCTTTTACAAGCTACTGTACCCATCAATATTTAGACACACACAAAGGATTAAGTGGTTATCAGTTGATAAAAAGTGAATAAATTCATAGATACTAATAACATTCTTTGGCGCGCGCGCGCACATATATAGCAGATCCTAAAATCCTAAGTTTGGTGTAGTATTTACCTTTCTCTTAAGTGCATTGATTTGTTTTAAGATTCTTTCATCCTGAAACAATAATCATAGTGAGTATGTTAAATCAAGAGCTTGAATGTAATGACTACGCAAAATCACAACTCATAAAGGTATAGGATGAGGACGAAATCGAGCCAATTTCTTCACACAGTGAAAGATGACTAGCAGTTATAATCACTAAACTAGATTTTTTTTTTTTGCTTTCATGGTAAAGGCATTGCTTTTTAAAAAAGTGTAAAAGTATAGATTTTTAAAATAGAAAATGTGCACATCAGGTAGATTCTACATCAGCAATAATGTAGGTTTAAAGAAAGCTACCGAATCTTGTGAAAAAACATTAAAAGATATTATAGAAAAAGAAGTCATGGGGCAAAATGTAGGAAGCCACGTTGTTCATAATATAGCTTGTGAACAAGGTGAGGTAAGTTCTACAAATTTACAAGATACAGTGACTACTGATTCATGATTGATGAAAAGATATTATATTTCTTCTACATTCAATTCCTAAAAGTAAATGAAGAATGAAATTAATAGCATAAAGGAATCCTAACACTCTTAAAGTTTGTGCCTTTAGGGCTGTTTGGTCCACAGGAAATATGAAAATGGAACGAACAATAACCATAAATTAATTTGGTATGATACTGAAAATGGGAAAAAATATTTTTGATATTTAAATAAAAAAATCAAACCAATTAAAATGCCCACAAGGGGGAAAAATCCCATCATAGATCCACAGATGAAGGGTATTAGTGGAAATGGTGTGATTCCAGCTTTTGGTAATCAGGATTGCTCACGCTTTTATGGAGGATCATCCTTCCACAAGTCTGGTAATGAGTCTTTTCATAGGATTAGGATTCATACAACAAAAAGAATATAAAACACACACCATATTTGGTAATGCAATCGAGATTTGGGAGTTCAAGAATTCAATCAAACAAACCCTTATTGAAGTTCATAAACTTCTCTGCAGAATACTAGTATAATATATTTTCCTTTTTTCATATATACAAATACAAACTTTATACTCCCTACATTCAAAAAATACAAGGAATTTTTTCTGATTTTATATTTTTAAAAATAAAAGACATTTTTAATTTTTCAATGTGAAATTAATGAGTTTTTTTTTCAAAAGTACCTCTAATAAAAAAATCACTAAACTATTCCTTCACCTTTAAGTAATAGACCCTTTTAAATAAAGAAAAATATGAAAAGATAGTATTGGTTTAAGAATAACTAAGTAACTTATCAATAGTATAATTTAAATAAAAATGCCTTATACTTTTAAACTGAAGGAGTATGACAAAGTATCTTATTAATAGTATACTTTATTCCTCCTATCCCAAAATGCAAGTTACTTTAATTTTAATTATTTTACCCCAACCAATAAAGTTGGTTAAAGTTAATTAATTGAACATCTTGAACTTTTCAAAAGTTACTTGAACATTCCGAAATAACCCTTGTTAAAGTATGATCTCATATTAATGATATATCTCTTTTAAAATCTCTCGCGGGAAAAATTTGAAAAGATAACATTTAATGCTATAAAATGACTAACATTTTGAGTATCCCAAATCTCCTAAAACGTGACTTAAATTTTGGGATGGAGATGTTAGAATTTTGTTAGAACTTGACAAACTTTAGAGAGGATCAAGGTTGAAGCACAAAAAGGATTAAATCGAAACCTTTGTTTTTGAAACACGGGACAAGTCCCTTTCAAGTCTTTCCTCTAGTGTCTGCAATTCTTCAAGCGTGCATCCTTGAAGCTCTTACCCATTCAGCTGCCTGTTGAATTAATTTATAGTGCAAATCATCATGTGTCTTAGGAACATAATAATCTTGTGAACATTCATGCATGGTATGTATAGTACAAGGTTGTATACCTCAATTCACGAGTCTTTTCTGCTACTACTGCCTTGTGCAGCTCGTTCTCATCACCTTCAAGCTTGTACGTATTTAAAAAAAAAAAAGATACAAAAAGACTTGAGAAGATTAGCCTATCATGATTTAATATCCATTACTTCATATATTATCATAAATTGATTTCAACATTATGTCACCCCTCAAAGCAATGCTCTTTTTGGTCCTCCTGTGGAGCTAATTCAGGACCTAGGTTTTTTGTAGGGCAATTCAGTTTCACTTTTGTTCGTAAGATTAGCCCCTATTATCCTGGAACCTGATCAAACCTAGAAGGGGGAAAATCTTGGGGGGGGGGGGGGAGGAAGTTATGGACAACAAATTACAAAGAATGAAGATGGAGGGATAATTATAGGTATGATGAACTTAATTTCTTTGGTGAGTTTAAGTCTTCCAAAGAAGGAGATTCCCCCCCTTTATTGCTCACAGGTGTCCTCCAAGTGGAGATAATCTTATTTAAGGCATGATCGGATACTAAATTTGTAGTTTTGTAGTTTTGTACCTCTCCTGATGGGAATCCGAACTTGGGTTCGCTATATTATGAGGGACTAACTCCTTCTACTAGACCCACCCCTGTTGGTGAAGCAAATCCTTTTTTCCCCTCTGGTTCATTTGATAATAAGCGTTTGCTTAGTTATTCAGTAGTCAAATCCCATAGTCAATCAAATAAGAAAGAGGGGTTGGGGGGAGTGTGTGCAAGTCATAATTTAGAGAAACTACCTAGTAGTTAAGTATGTTATCCAAAATAGAAAAGAAAAGCAAAAAAGTTAAGTAAACAGAGTAGGCCACATATGTTTATTTGCACAAAACATAAGATATGGCATATCGTTAACAGCTAATAAAGTACAAGTTTCTATAACTTATATAAACATATTGATGATTGATATTGACCCATTGATTACCTGCACATCAACAGATGATTTACCTTGTATTTGAATGGCTGAATGTTGATCATACCTTCAATTGCCTGCTGAATACTGAAACCAACAAAAACAGTAACTCATTTGAGTGCCTTTATCCATTTTATCCCATGAAATCTATTAATGCAAAAGATCACATAATTAAGAACAGTTTTATAAATGTCAAAATGAATAATGAAATTCTTCAGAATCCCAATGGTTTTACTCAGCGCCTTCAACTGTGCGGATACTAATTATGATTCAATTACTTCATCAAATCCATAAAAATATTTATTCATTCGTTGACCTTTAAGTTCTTACTTAACAGAAACAGCAGTATTAAAACACATGCATTGCAATTTAAGGTTAGAAGTAAATAAATAAACAAGAATCATGTAGATTCTAACTAGTGGTCAACTTATAATTCTAACCCTTTGAATTCAATTTATTAAAAGAGGAAGATCATGGAGTTAATGGCAACAGTTACAAAAGCTTCTTATCAACTAGATGAGAAATGCTGCTGTATTACCAGATTAAGAAGTTATACAATAAAAATCAAAACACATATTCCTAGGTAGCTACTTTTATCGATCATACAAAGTGAGAGATGCTAAGTGCAGATGCGCACACACATATTGAAAATAATAATAATAATGAGTACTCATACAGTTTCATATTGCATTCTTAAATCAATCACTATGATATTGTGGAAACCTCTCTCTCTCTCTGTGCGTGTTTGAGAATTAAATACCCCTTTGTACATGTGTGTGTGTGTGTGTAAGAATGAAATTAAGTGTAGAGATAACACACACATATATATAACATATATATATATAAGAACCTTGAGCTAGCATAATCAAAGAGCTTGCCAGTGGAAGAGAAGACCAAGAGAGCAATCTCAGCATCACAGAGAGTTGAGAGTTCATGTGCCTTCTTGAAGAGACCTTTCCTTCTCTTTGAGAAAGCCACTTGTCTTGCTGTTACACTGTCTATTTTCTTTATCTGTATCTTTCTTCTCGTCATTTCCCCTCTTCTTCATCCGTAACACATGGTTATTACATACAGTCAAAAAATTACATATACATATATATATATATATATATCAGCAGAATCAAAGTAGGGGTAACACTGTGCTTGAACTGATTAATAGAGAGGGTATTATACATACAGTATATCCAGTGGTTTCACATCACATAGAGAAAGATCTACAATGAATTATTATTACTATTGCTACTATTCTTCACAAAATCCAAGTATCCCACTAAGAACCGACGGATCAGAGATGAGAATCGGGAAAGAAGTGAGAAAATGTTGCCTTTGTTGTTAAACATATAAACTACAGAAAGATTAGTGATCTTGGAAGAATAACAAGAAATAATTGAAAAAAGTACAATAAATCGAGCTAAGGAAGAATTTCCAGCTCAACAATATCTTTGCGACCAAATTAGGAAAGAGAAACTCAGCTATCAGTAGATGAAAAATGGAAAGCGAGAAAAGAAAAGGAAAAAAAATCGAGTGTTTCGAAATGAACCTCAAACCAGAAGTTACCGAGAGAGAACAAAAAAATAAATAAAAACTGCAAATAAAGCATTTTCAGAAGAAAGAAAGTGAAACCGAAGCTCCAGAAAATAAGGAATCCAACCTGGTAGATATTGAAGAGACTTGTGTTATGAATATCGCAGACTTCTTCTTCTCTCTTGTTCTTCAGCTTTCGCGGTTCGTACATTGATGGCTTTTCTAAGAAAATTAATATGTATGCTTTTTTGCCCTTTTTGGCCAAGTTGATGTTTCTTCTGTAGCCACTATTTTAATTTCATATTCTTCCCTTTTCTGTTCTCTAACATTTAATAGGCTACAGCGAGGAAGGATACGAACTTAAAATAGTGGCTACAGAGAACTTAGAAAGAGAAAGTAAAGGGTCTGTTTTTTGGTCAGGGAACTTTTGTATATATTTATTTCTTTCCACCAAAAACAAGTTTGAAAAGAATTATTTAATATTTATTTAAAGGCTTAAATGGTAATTTAGACTTTAGATTATATTTAGGCGTTAAATTATAAGCTTAGAAGCGATTTAAATTCTAAATTCATATTTAATATGTTCTAAATTCTAAACAATTAAATTTAAATAATTTTTCTTCGACCTTTAAGTTGGCATAAATGTTTGTTATTTTAAAAAATGAGATCAGATGTATAATTTTCATGCTTCTCCTTGCCATTTCACTCATCATCTTCCTTCTCCATCGCCTAGAATCCTGCCTCAAGTTTATGGAAGAAACATGAGCAGGCCAGCACTAACAGCACCTAAATTCAAAGGATTTCCAAGTGTTTCAAATACAGAGAGCTAGAAGTGGCAACGGAGGGGTTCATTAAAGCAAATGTAATTAGAAATGGAGGATTTGGTTTGGTGTGCAAGGGAGTGCTCAGTGATGGCACTCTGACTACCATTGGGTTGTTGCACAGAGAGAGGGGGAGAGGGGTAGTGTAATTTGACAGGGGTGGAAATTGCATATCCGGTTCCACTTTTTTTTTAAAAAAAAAGTAATGAGCATTTATGCCAATTTGACTGCAGGGAGAACTTGCTCTAAATTAATTATTTAGAGTTAAAACATATTAAATATAAGTTTAGGATTCAAACTTTTCCAGAATTTGTAATTCATCATTTAAATTATCATTTAATTTTATTTAAATGCTTTTTGATTAAAAAAATGCTTTTTATGTGTATGTTACTTTTTTGTATTCCCTCATATTCCTTGATTGTGATGGAGAGTCTCCCCATTGTACATGAAAGTTAATGTAAAATATAAGAAAAATTCAATTTCATCAGTTATTAATAATATAATAATTCCTTCATTAGGGTGTGTTAGGTAAGGCGATGAACATTTGGCTGCTTGCTATGCTGGGACTCTATTGTCAGCAACAATGGGAGAAGCAAGGAGAGAAGAAGATGGGTTGTGATTAGCGTTCTCTTGGTTCCACTAACTCCATTCAGATGTTTTTATCATCATTATCATCATAAAAAGAGGGTGAGTCAATTTTTTATTATTATATTAATTTTCATGCAATTATCAAAAGTATATATAGGATAAAATTGAATTTTATATACATTAAGAAAATTAAATTAAGATGTATAATTAATTTATATAAGAAATAAATAAAAATAAAAATCATCATATATGGATATAATTGAAAATTAGTTATTATCTTGCATCCCTTACCCATCTTAATCAAACAAAAGATCATTAAAGATCCCCCTCCTCTAACAAAATGAAACAAAATAACATAAAACCCTTCCCTCCCCTCTTCACTAGCAAGCCAAACACACCGTTAAGCAATAGAAAAGTAGTTTAGGTATTTAAATTTATAGGCCATAGTATATTTTTGATTTTCTAACTTTATATATCTTTTCAGTCATTAATTCCAATACTGTTAGTTTTAAATAATTTTTTTATGTCAAATATTATTATTTTTTAAAAAAAATTAAATTCAGTATATCAACATTTAAAAATATTTTGTTAATATTTTAAAGTTTAATGTAAAAAATTTTGTTATAAAATTGATGGTATTAGGGTTAAAGGATTGAAAAAACACTTTATAAAATTAAAGTATCAAAATGAAATTTTATATTTAAGTTAAAGGATTAAAAATATAATTTAGCTAAATTTATATATTTCAAATAGTTCTAGTTAGCTTCCAACAAAACTGAGACATGATGGCGTTCCCACTGCAAAATTAAATAAACTAGGTAAATTCATATAAAAGTAAAACAAAATACATTTAGTAGATATGTGAATTTTGAGTGTATGAGGGGGGGGAAGCAAAAAGGTCTAACTTGTCACAAGTTATAATTTATCAATAGTACAGTTAAGTTTTTATAAATTTTATATAATCAATATATTAATATATAGTTTAAAATTTAAAAGAATCATACTATTCATAAAATTTAAATCATGCAACTTATTTCAAATTTGATAGGAATACAGTACTAGAAAAATAGAATTTAACAAATTCAATAACTTTAACAAGGGATTAGCCCTCGCTAGTTCCTCACTAAATATGTCTATATTTTAAAATGATAATGCCACATCACCCACCATATGTGCGTCAATTTATGATATGTCACCAACAATCTCGTGTCTCATCAACTGTCATATCACCTATCATTTCGTGCCTCGTGTGCAACAACTCATGACAATTCACCTTACGTTATGCCACTTGCTCCTTATAAGTAATTACTATATCATATCTTCATTATGTTTATACCAAAGCCAAAACATAAACCCTTGACTTCATATCTTTCAAGTTTTATACTCTCTTTTTTTGCCAGTTAAATTGAAAGGAACTTATAGTCATTACATGATATATTATTTAACTACATAAATATATAAAATAATATATTATAAAAATACATACATATATACATATTAAATTTTTTTCAATTATTAATATGTTAAAAATATTTATATTTTATTTAAATTATTCTTTATATTATATTTTTAATAAAATATACTTTTTTCAATGAAAAGAAACTTAAAATAAAGAAAATATTAAATATTAAATAATTTTATTATGAATATTTTAGTTATTTTTAAATTTAATTTTTATTTTTAAATGAAAATAATTAAATATATAATTAAAATTTATTGCCAAAGGTTAAATTTTTTTGTAGTAATTAACTAGGGATAGAATCCCTTGCTAAATCCCTCACTAATTATCTTTTTTTAGGAATATATATACGTAAGAGGCATGGCTCCAGATGATTTTTTAAGTAGTTCTGTCCAAAAAATAATTTAAGTAGGGCATTATGGAGCATTTCTTTTCTGGAAACTGCAATGTGAGTATTTTTATTATAAATTACATGTTAAATTTTATATCAAAATTATTTTAATTTCAGGAGCAAACTTTCCTATACAGAAAGTTGGAAAGATGAAATGTAGAGTATCAATGAAGGGTATACATGGAAAATGGAATCAATTTTCAAACATTAATTAATTTAACCGTTTTCTTGTTATGTGTCCATGAGTACAATTAAGGATAGAGAGAGTAAAACTCTCAATATGTGTGCAAGTTTGAAGCAAAAACATGTAGTGGTGTTATGCTAGGTAGGATTAAAATATTTGTAGCGCTATAAATGACATACAATGGTACTAATAGTAAAAGTATGAATACGTTGGCCCCCCAAAAAAGAAGAAGAAGAAAAAAAAGAAGAAGAAGTATGATTGCTCCATATGATTATTTTCTGTTAAGTTTTCACATTTTAGTAACATTAAATGATTTTTTTATGGAAAGACTCAACGTTATATTTTTACACGAGTTAAGTGCTTGAGTAAAAGATGATCATTTTGATACTTTTAAATAACATTTTTTGCTACTAAAACAAAAATGAATGTAACCATAAGCTAAAAATTAATTTTATGTTTAAATAGAGATTTAGAAGAAGAGGAGAGAATATTCAGAAAGTGAGAGAAGAGATGATTCTCATTTTAATATGTTGAATACAACTGAGATACTCCCTATTTATTGGCATAAATGTAATCAACTATAATAAATAAAACATAAAATAATAATAGCTAAAAGATATTGGAATAACCCAAAAATATCAAAGTAACTGAAAGATATAGGCATCCACATAATATCTTAAATTTCATAACTCTCCCCCTTGGATGTCCATAAAAGATATTGTACCTTATTAAAACCTTATTAGAGAAAATCTAATGGAAAAAAATCCTAGTGAAGGAAAAAGAATACACAATATATTTCTAACACTGCCCTATTAAAAACCTTTCCATGAAAAATCCAATGAGAAAAAATATGATTAAAGAAAAAAGAGTACAATATATATAAACTTCCCCTCATGACTAGATCAGTTAATATTTTTAAACCTGGGAACTCCAATGTTGTATATATAAACTTCTCAAAAGTTAAAGTAGCGAGTGCTTTGGTCAACAAATATGCTAAGTTGTTACTGGAAAGAATTTATTGAATTTGGATTTCTCCACTTTTCTGAATATCATGTGTGAAGAAGA